GAACCACGCGTCCCCACCTCTGGCACCCTCACCGACCGCCGACGGAGACCACCCGTGCAGGATGGAGGTCACCGACGTGGCCGTAGACGGCGTCACGCTGCTCATCTGCCTCTGCGGGCTGCTGGGGAACGGGGCCGTCCTCTGGCTCCTCGGCTTCCGCATCCGCAGGAACCCCATCACCGTCTACATCCTCAACCTGGCCGTCGCCGACTTCACCTTCCTCCTCTTCATGGCCGCCTCCGCCCTCCTCTACGTGGTGGAGAATGTCTCCTGCTCCGCTGTCGTGTCCCTGATGTACCTGAGGTCACTTTTGCTGCTCTCGCTCTTCTCCTACAACATGGGCCTCTACCTCCTGACGGCCATCAGCATCGAGAGGTGCGTGTCCATCGTCTCCTCCAGGATCCGCTGCCCCCCGTGCTTGTCGGCTGTGGTGTGTGCCCTGCTCTGGGTCCTCTCCATCGCTGTCATTGCTGCAGTGAGTTCTCTGTGCCTGTTGCACGAGCACGAGCACTGCCGGGTGGCTCTCATCTCCATGTACGTCCTCAATTTCCTCATCTTTGCCCCACCCATGGTCATTTCCAGCACAATCCTCTTCATTAAGGTCCAGTGCGGCTCCCAGCAGCACCAGCCCAGGAGGCTTTACATTGTTATCTTCCTCACGGTCCTCTTCTTCCTCCTCTTCGCTCTTCCCCTCAGCATCTGGAATTTCCTGCAGCAGTTCAGCTACAGCCTCGTGTCCTCCCAGGTCGTTCTCCTGCTCGCCTGCATCAACAGCAGCATCAACCCCTTCATCTACTTCTTGGTGGGGAGCTGCCAGAGGCACTGCTCTGTGGTGTCCCTCCAGGTCGTTCAGCTACAGCCTCATGTCCTCCCAGGTCGTTCTCCTGCTCGCCTGCATCAACAGCAGCATCAACCCCTTCATCTACTTCTTGGTGGGGAGCTGCCAGAGGCACTGCTCTGTGGTGTCCCTCCAGGTCGCCTTCCGGAGGGTCTTTGAGGAGCTGGAAGACAACACGGCATGCAGCAACGACACCACGATGGAAACGCTGGCCCCAGCCTGTTGAAGCCTTTCCACCGCTCTGCTTAAGGCCCCCGGGACAGTGGCTGAGGGTTTCCTTGAGTAACCAGGTTAATAAACATCTGCAGCGTCTCCCGGGTAAATACACATCGGCAGCGTCTCCCCCCCCGTCACCCTCTCGCCGCATGCTCCTGCCCCCCACAGAAGAGGAGAGGGGGGCCATCCCCGAGGTCGACGTGGGGAGGGATGCTCTGCGGGGAGCGCCTTGGAGCACGGCTCTCCTCCTCCCTGCCAGCCCACCCCGGATCCTAGGGCACTCTTCCCCCAGAGGACCGTGTTCTCAGCGGCTTTTCGGGGTGAGCATCGCCTTTGGGAAACCCTGACTCGCGTACAGAGCGGGGAGCAAAACCCATTCGGCGTCCGAAGCCCCTCTCCCCACCCCGCGTCCCAGCCCACGGGGCCTCTCTGAGCTCCGCTCCCCTCCCGCAAGGCTGGCGGGGGGGGACCCCACTGCCCCTCCCC